TGCTGAACCTATCTAAAAAAAAGCCACTTCAAGCAGCTAAATAAATTTTTGAAAACCTGACTTCCAAGTATACATGATAACGTAAGTTGAAAAGCAGGCTTTTAAATCATTGTAGGGGTATAACTGTAGAATTCATTGACCAATGTTTAGTGCTAGGATTTTTCCCTGATCAATAGCAATATGAATAGTGTTTCATTACTTAGTGCAGAACATGCAGAACATGTAGTCTAATGCACAAACAAAATGTTTCTCTTTCAGGTATTATTCCCCTGGATATTCTGAGATACTTCTGGAAAGGGTGGAAAATTACCATCCAGTTTTATAAACTTCAATTTTTTATTAGAGCTGTATTTCACATTTATGCCTTTATGACTATAATACAAATACAGCTGTTGAAACTCTTGTTTGATTCTGAAATCTCCTTCTACTGTTTGAACTACTGAAAGACCTCAGCAATTCCAGCAAGCTGTATTTTGTTCTTTATAAACTTGTCTGTTGCTAAGTTTTTGTTCCTTTTTGGTTTTCTCTAACATTACTACCAGATATTGCAGCGTATATGAATGGAATTTCATGCAGGGGTGATGATTTATTGCAGAAGCTTTTTTAGAATCAGTCATTTCCTTTTCCTTCCACAAGAAAGGTTTGTTAGTATCTCATTCAAATTTTAGCCTTCTCAGTACTGTAACCATTTTCCCCTTTTGCCTTTGCATATTGTTTGGCGCTTCCCAAGCTTGTTGAAGGGGAAAAAGCTGGCCCCTGTGCTTTTTCTAATTATGGAGGCCACTCTGCACTGAGGTATCTCTTACTGCTACCTTTCAGAAAGTGATGTGATTTTGCATCTCCAAACATGTTAGTAGCTTCTAAATAAAGACATAATCAGATGTGATGATGATAAAAGGGTTGAATTCTGCATGATACGATAGTGTGTTAGTCCTGGCATGGTAGGTAATACATCTTCTTCAAAAGTCTTCCTAATTAAGGCAGGGTTCACTGTGGAGGGAAGGAGCAATGTGCTGTTTGGTGTATGCATTGTTGTTCCTCTTAGAAAGGACAGAGTGAACTTAGAAATTCCACGGGCACAAAGGGAAGGACCCTGGGAAATTTGGCTCCATTTGGGTCAGCAGCAAATTTGTGTGGCTCAGAAGAGGGAAAAACTGCTTGGCTGCAAGGAACACTGTTAGCAAAGTTCTGAGCACATTCAGAGGAAACCTGAGGATAGCTGAGTCCCACTGATTTGAGTGATGAGACTAAGGCTGCTCAGTACTTGTTCTTCAAGAGCTGAAATTGCTGCAGAATTGAGTTGAAACACACTTGGAACTTAGTCTTGAAGTTGCAGATCACATCAATGTGGAGGTTATTGGAGGTATGAGCTCTTGCCTGTCTGCAGAACATCCTGGAAATATTTTTGCCTTCTTATGGAGAGTGAAAAGACTTTTACATTCTGCTTAGTCCTCTGGCGTACTGTAGCAGCAGGGAGCAGCATACAATCCTTTAGTATTCCCTAATATGTAACTGTCACTTACAATTTTTTGTTCTTCTAACCATTTTTCTTTTCCTTGTATGCAGCAGCTTTTTGTGTTTGTTGTTCTGGTTTTTGTTTTGGTTTTTTTTTTGTTTTTTTTTTTCCCAAAGAGTAATAAACAAGGTTCCTGGAACGGGATGTTGAAATACTGGCAGCCACAAAGAAAGACAACATTTGAAAACCCCTGCAGGAGTGAAACTTGTCTACTTTCTTAAACATATTAACTGAATGAGTTTATAAAACAGGGATAGTCTCTTCTATTACTCGTAAAACAGGAGCAAAGACTTACTGCAGTTGGAAATGATTTAGAGTGGCTTTTCTCTGCCAACTTCCAAATGACTATTTTCTTTTATTCTTGTCAGCATATTTTTCAGCAGTTCACAAAAACATTGATGCGCTATCTTGTGTTAAGGTTTAATTGGGTTATCTTGTGCTAAGGTTTAATCCTACAGAGGGCTGTGCTCCTACTGTGAAGTACTTGGTGCTCTCAGGCTCTGCTCTTCAGGAGGAGCAGGGCATGCATAGTACCTTGCCTTATGGAGCCTAACTGAGATGGAAACTGTTGGTGTCATGAATGCTGGTACAGAAACCACACCAGCTGGGTTCTTTCCTTAGCCCACATCAAAGTGAAAAGTCTTGGAACTGACTAGCTTCTACCAAATGCCTTTTCATTTTTGATGTTTATATTCTGACATTACTAGTGTTAGGACACTAGTGGAAAAACATTAGGTCTATTAAAAAGATTGTTGTAATACTGAATAATTTTCTCACATGCATTATGGATATTTAAAAATCAAATCTTGTACAATCTCTAAAAGAAAATGTAACGGAAGGGCTTCCAGACAGTCTTGAAGGATCTGAAGCCTTTATTTTCCCTAACGAAATGGTGCAGAGGGCTGAATGCAGTTGCAGTGCAGATGGGAGGCAGGGTAGGCACGGAGCTGCGTCCCCATAGCTGCATCATGTGCTCGGGAGCACACCCACCCCACACAATGCTAATGTATATGTTTTGTGCGGAGAGAGCAAAGAGGCTTCAGTCCCCTGACAAATGTGCTCCTGCTGTGTCACACTGTGCTACACTGTAAGGATTCCACAGGGTTAAATTTCAATGCCTAAACAATTTGTTCACAGTCTTTTCACAGTCTTTTTCTGATTCCTGACAAAGGAAATGATTGCACAAGGCAAACCTTCAAAGCGATCTGATTGTGCCGAGCACAATCTAAATCAGACCTAGCATAAATACATCTTTACACCAGCGAGGCAGTTCTGTCCTAGACCAGTGGCTGCTTGGCCTCTTGTCGCAGGAATCTTCTGGACGATGCCACATCCCATTAGGCTGTGGCATTGCAAAGTCCTCTCCCACGTACGTTGAGACCCCTTCAGCTCTCCTTTGCTGGCAGGCTGCTTCCCTGCATCGTACGTACACCTTGTGGCGGGAGGCTTCCCTGGAGGTACATAAGGCAGATCTAGCCCTTTACAGCAGAATTTTTGCTAATTTGTATTTTAGGCTTACTTTACTCGGGCAAGAATTGCTTTTTCTCCTGTCGTGTTTCACAAGCTCTGATGTACAGCATTTCTATTCCATCCTCTCATTTGGCTTAAGTCATCATCTAAAACTATATTAATGCTTGTAATTGCTACTCTGGCAGGCTTCGAGTGTGTATCATTTGTCTCAATTTCATAGAATAAAATGTAGATTTGCATTCTAATTCATTGCGTAAATGCTGTTTTCATGCTAGTTTGTGACTGTGATGCTAGAGAAGATGAAGAACAGGTTCATTTTGCAGTTTGAGCCTGACACCACCTTTGGATGTTTGTCTCAGCTTACCACTTAACAGTGCCTACTTCTGAGCTTAGGACATACAAGCATTTCAAGTAAGAGTCCCCCTCACAGAGGTGGCTTATTAAGACACACAAAGAAAATTAAGCCAGTGCTTTGGCAGAAATAAATGTAAGCGGAGGCAGCCCTTAAATCATTTTGCCAGTTCCTTTGACTGCAGCATTGGGACTTTTCAACCCAAGTCTTTAAAGATCTTCTCTGGGGGCCCGAGCCATGATTTTTGTCTACATTACTACCGCTATTATTACATCTACAGATGTAAACCAGTCCCTTGAAAGAACATGTGGATGTGTAAAACTTTACCATATTTCATTCAGTGGATGGATTAACTGGTCTACAAAAGCTCCATTCTTTATCTGAATGACTGGAAACCAAGAGGATCTGAAAAGGGGAAATTCAAGGAGTTCAACTCTTGTGCATATAATATGTTCTGCATTTCCAGAGGGATTTACCAAGGGATTGCTTTGTCTCATCTGAAGTGATCAATCTGCTGGAGATCTGCATCTTAACAAACAAATGAACAAAATGTTGAAGGAGCTGAATGGAACTGGTGAAGGAAGAAATGAATCTCATTTTGTGAAGTAAAGCATAAAGTTACTGTAATTAGGAAGTGGATTGAGTGTGGGCAGATCCTCAGTGCTTTTGATTTGGTCTAGGGGGTTGTGAATTAGCTTGGCCAAAAGGGAGTTTTAGGCATGGAGGGTGCCATGGAATAGCCTTCAGCTTCTGTTTAAATTGGAGTCCTCTGATTTCTGGGCATATAGGATTGCTGACTATTGTCCCTTCGGGTGAGGAATCTGTGAAAGCATGCTTGCCTCGGTATCTTCCTTAATGCTGTTTGGTGTCCAGTATCTTGGCTGTTAAGAGTTTTAGATCTCACTGTGTGACCAGGGTAGAAAGGAAATATGGACCAGCGCTAGATTGCAAAGCCTGTGGTTCTACTTCTTCCACTGCCATAGAATTGCTTTTATGGCCTTGGATAATTATTACAAATCCCTGTGTATCATCATCTTCAGCTGTGAAGTATCTGTTATACTCCTTTGTTAACTTGTAGAAGTGCTGGGAAAATTAAATTCATATGAGAGGTTGATGCAGCAGAACTTAAGTTCTTTATAACTAATACCATGTTCAGAAAGGAATATTGTTCAAGAACCTACAAAAATTTGCCTAAGAAATCTTCGAGACGCTGATTTTTAGAATTTGAGTTGAACTAAAAGCCAGTGGATTTTGTGTTTCCTCATCTGACACAATTTGAAGGGATCTTGGAGAAAGAGGAAATTACAATGTCTCTCACGACTATACTAAAACTATTGATGTCATTTTTGTATAATACGTAACTGTTAATATTGATGCTACTATGCTGAATTCTGCAGTCAGCTCTATAATTTAGCTAGCGAAAATGCTAATTACATTATTACCACTCTACTCGATTTCTAGATACTGCACAAAAGATTGAATTAGAAAATACCTATCAGCAGTACTAAAGTGTATTTTGATGATGAGAAAGCCTTTTAAACCAGGAAATGGCAGTGTGCTGCCTTTCACAAGAAGTTACTCTTGCTCGGGTTAAACACATTTGGTAGTTGTTTGTGTTCCCTCCCACCCGGAGGGCCGATCGCGAGGCTCGCTGAGTGCTCAGCGAAGTGCTGAGGACCGTGATCTCCAGCAGAAACAGGTTGTGTTCACTATCATGCATCGGCAAGCTATGGAGAGGAACAACGTGAGTGTACTAATGTCATCATCTCAACAGACTGCCACAGAGATTTGAAGGCTTGCTTTCTCTTTGTAAAAATATGCTTGTTCCTACTAGTTCCTACCTCCGAACTGAGTTAAAGAATAGGTATCCAGATTAACTTTAGCTATTCTACATTTTGTTCCTTTTATAACAAAAAATTAATTTGGGTGGGGGCAAGTGTGTTAATGTTTTTCTGTAAAACAAAGTTCTTGATTTTTTTTTTTTTAT